AAAAAAAAAAAAAAAAAAAAAAAAAAAAAAAAAAAAAAAAAAAAAAAAAAAAAAAAAAAACTCACTTTCTTATTAGAAGGTTAGTTTCTTATTAAAAGTTAAAAATTGAAAGAAAAAAAAAAATCTCACAATATCCATGCTCACTCTACCATGGTTTATTTTCTAGTTGAACCACATTAGAGTCAGAATATCTATAAATGTAAACAAATTTACTTGGAATCTATGACAAAAATGCTATTATAACGCTTGAAGTTAGATCTTCACTTGCCCATATAATTGTCTCTTTCTGGAAAGAGGTCTTCGTTGATCTCTGCATTATCTTTAATGAAAATATTCTGAACTCCCCTAAATCTTGAGATACAGTTGTTTCTCTCAAACCATAAATTCAAGAAAAAAAATTCTGTTGATGGACTATACACTGTAGGTAAAGGAACATGATGGGAATAAGTGACTGGGACTCATCTTGTACATAGCACATCACACACCAAGTTGGAGATAAAGGGCTTCTCTTTTGAACCTTAGCATTAATATTTGGCAAGACAATTTACCAAATTCACTTTTAACGAAAAGGGTACAATTTAAGGGAGAGGGTACAAATTTGATTTTTCTTTGTTTAAACTAACTAAATTTGTCAAGCTTCCAGCTGATGGAACTAACAATCAGCAAGCCACTTCGTTCAGGTTTTCCCCTTTAATTAGAGTAAACTAGTTGACTAACATATCTATTTGAGCTGATGTAAAGCTGCATAAATCAGCATGAATAATTTCCTTGTTCCACAAACAGTTCCAAGAAGGTAGATCCCAGGAAGTATCTACTTTCCCGGTTCCACAAAGCGTTCCATAGAGCTAAACAATCAACATGGTAAAAACGAGAGTATAAGCTATAATAACCTTCCGGCTCTATACATATAAACACCTCGCCCTTTTCCACCACTCTGCGCCCGGCTCTTGAGAAACAACCTAGCCGCTTCAAGACCGCACCGAGTGAGAGCAGCACCTTCATTCTCCAATTCGATCACAGCTGCATTATATCTCATCAAGGATCCGGACAAAGCCTCAACAGCCCTCACGTAGGACCCCCCAGGCGCGCCGTCGTAAGGGGAAATATCAGACAGGCGAACCCTAGCCAGCGGGCAAGCCATAGTTACAGCAGAATCACCGGCGGATTGGGCCGCCGCAACCGGCACCACTGGTCCGGCAACATGGTCCGATGGAGGAGGAGGCGGCGGAGGAAGCGACTCCCGATGGGAATTGGAGATGTGGGTCGTCAGAGGAGCGAGAGCCAGTGGTGACTGCGCGGCGGCGGCAGCGGCGGCGGCGGCGGGCACGGATGAAGGTGACCTAAGAGATGAAGGCGGAGGACTGATATGGTGAGGTGAAACTGCAGAAGAGGATTGCTGCTGCTGCTGCATTATGATACCTGGAACAATCGATCATGCTGGAATTTCAAACCAGGAATGAGAATCTCTGTCTTCAATTCGAAACTTCATACAGAATTTGATGGATGAACTGTGCAATTGGAGCTTGGAATTGTGTTATGGTGGCACCAGTGGAATTTGAAGCCTTGTTTTCTTGAAGCTGGGTCTCCGCATTTTTTTCCTTATTGGATCTTGACGGATTGACAAATGGAAGGAATTTTGACTCCTTTTGAGAAAATGTTTTAAATAGTGGGAATGAAAAATTAAAGCTAGAGATTTTAGGTTAAATTATCTAATAAAATAACGCCCTTGGGTTTCAAGACTTCATTTTTACTTTTTAGTCTTTAACATTGTTTCACAAACATCCTTTCATGAACTCTTTTTTTGTTTTTTGTTTTTTTTTTTTAACCTTAAGACCGGCATTTTTTAGGGGTTATACCAACAAAACTGCTGTTAATTTAGGATATTGCAATAATATATGAATTATTATAATTCCAAAATAATACATATATTTTTAGTTGATCAACAATATTCTTATCTAAACTCCTTCATTTATTAATCACAAAACCAAATAACATGAATCAATTAAAATGAACAACTTCCGGTTGTTCTGGATTGATTAGTCAAATATGAGTGAACTTATACTTCTTTATATTCAGCTAGATAGATGTCAAAAAGCTTTAAAAAAAAAACATAAAAAGGCAAATCCAAAAGGATTACAAGATAAATAAAATATGACTTCAAACCTAGTACTTGGACCATTAAGAGGTTATTTCCTCGTAGAAGGTGAGTTAGTATTTAGAGGTTTTATAGGTATTTTGTAAAGGTAGAGGGACTTTGTAATGGTTATTTTGCCAAGGTGCTTGAGCAAGGGCACTATTTGAAACTCATTTTGGGTGGGTTCGGGTAGACAAACGAGGGCACGAGGTATGCGTAGGTGGGTAGATGCGCAAGTAGGTGCATTTGCATCGAGTTGGGACAATTGTATTGGACATGCATGGATACTTACTAAAATTATTGAACTCAAACTTTAAAGATACAAAAGTTACATTCTAAATCTAATAAACATTTTGCACTAGTAAGTTTGGATAATGATAATGAAGTAGCCTAGGTTTTTTAAGATATTATGTTACAAATGAAGAGAAGAGATTGAAAGCCATAGTTGAAAAATATTTAGTTGGCCCAAGAAAGAAAATAATTTAAATATTTTATTAATGATGGCGTTAGGTTGCTATTCCCATTTACATCTAAGGGTATGAGTGTGCCTGAAATTATATTTCCAGACCAAAACTCCATTGAATCTCCGAAGAACAAAGCTCTCCACCAACATATAAAGGCTAAATCTTCTCCACCCATTCTCACTTCTAACTTCTTCTACTTTCTCCACTCGCACTACTTTCTCTCCGCCGTTGTCGCCCAACCCACCCAACCAACCGCCCGCTTCTTGCACCCATTTCATCTTCTCTACCACCGCCACGCTTAGTCCCACGCTCATACCCTTCCTTCCGCCCTCCAAACGATTAGAAGCCTTGAACCAAACAAACCCCTCTTTTCTACGCTCATCTCCTTTCTCTCTCTCTGCTCCTCTCTCTGCCACCAACACCACCTCTCTAGCCACGTCCACGGCGACTGTCACGACCGAGCTGGGTTCACTGTTGGGGCTCTCACAACAGAATATCTCTTCCCAGCATTGTTCTAGAGTGAGCGAGTAAAGTGGTGACACTTTCATTTGAGTTTTTATGCTGATTGAGTTCTCCCTCACAAAAACAAACGGGCAGAACCTATTTGAAATTTGATCATACAGGGATCAAAGATTTGAACCATTTGAAGAACCATATTGTATATCAATCCAACAGAAATCAAGGATCAAAGCAGAGAAGGAAAGAAGAGGGATACCATTTCCCGACCACCACAGGGATAGAGCGAGCAGTAAAGATGGGGAAGTTAAAGTCGGGAAGAAGCTCTCTACGACAGGAGTCTAAGCCGAGAGCTTCCTCAAATGGAAGGTTCAAACTCGAGGATGAAGAAGAACGAAGTTTCCATCCTTTGGTTCTCAGAAACTTCGGCGGAACGCCGTCGGGAGCGACGGCCTGAGCGAAGAAACCACCGCCGTGGTAGCGGTGTATCTGAAACTGCTGGTAGATGTCTTTGAAGTTGAAGGGGGATGGGCTGTTGTCGCTCAAAACGTCCCCAAAGCAACAGGATGTTATGTCATCTTCTCTTGAGCATTTGAATGCTTTCCTAAAAGAAAGAAAGAAAGAAAGAAAGAAAGAAAGAAAGAAAGATGGATAGATGGATAGATAGATAGATAGAAGAATAAAAAGTATAGAGAGAAAAGAAAAGGAAAACAGAGTGAGTGAGTGAGTGAGTGACCCTTTATGCTTGCCTCCAGCTTTGATAATGTAATAGCGATTAGAAGAAAGAGGGCGATCAAGAACAGGGAGCAACCAAACTTTGGTGGAGTCAGTAGTTTGTTGATACTGAGAAGAGGTATGAAGAATGGTCAAAATTCTATCCTGTGGAAACGGCGGCTTCTTAATCCTCCTCCGCCTGCAAATCCCCCAACAGTACGAATCTTCAGCCTCCGCTTCTTCATCTTTCACCACAAAAAGCCCCGAAAACGGACCCTCCCCTGCCGGTATGGACAGGCTGCTCGGCGACTTTCTAAACAGGGAAAGAGGGCGAGTCACAAGCATTGTGCTTGAGTAGTGGCACATATGAAGTGGAGAGGCGGGGGTTTTATCGGAGGGCGGGGGTTGTAGTTTCTTATGAATTAAGAAAGGAGGAGGGGGGGTTGGGTGGGTTTTGAGATAAGAAATGGGGAGTTGAGATTTGGGATGATAAAGAAAGAAGGTATAATAATTAAAGGTTGAAGAGGATATGATAAAGAACAGAACACCCACTTAGCTTGTGTTTCGCACTTTTGACGCGGCCGGCCATGTTTGGTTGTTTTAAGCCTCCGTTTGGTTGTTTTAAGCCTCGAGGGGACTTCCTCCGTCTGCCCACTTTAATATACATAAACAGATTTGGACGTACAGAGGTAAAGAAATGGAGATTCGCACAAATGGAGTATGATATAATAATACATTCCAAACCAACCATTTTAGCTTCCAGTGCAGACACCGTGTACGCTTAGGTTTGGTCTTTAAACGTATAATAAACCTTTTAAAATAATAACAATAAAAAAAAAAAGGTAAAAAAGATTATTTCAGAAGGTTTATTATATATTTCTTGATACATTATTATATTACTATAAGATTATTTTAATTCTAAAATTTAAAACATTCAAAACTTATAAAGGGTTAACGATACCGCCAAAATAGATCATTAAAAATGTCGGTAGAGAACGAAGGTAATTTGATTCGAAGAGAAGAAAAGGAGGTAATAAGATAGATTGAGAGCAGAGTCCATAGATGGAGCACAAATTAGGTAGGAGAAAATATATAGTTCAAAGCTCAGCGTCAAGCTCGAGTACCACGTCATGAGGCCCATAGATATTGGCGAACACAACAGCTTTGTGCTGAGGAAGTTCATCGATCTTAGCCGATTCCTCCTCAGTCAATGACCAGTCAAAGATGTCAATGTTCTGTCTCATTCTCTCTCTGTCGAAGCTCTTCGCCACTATGCTCACCCCTTTCTCATAAACCCATCTCAATGCAATCTATAATTTAATTACACAAGATAAATAAATAAATAAATAAATAAACAAATAAATAAATAATTTCATTCACCTGAGCAGTTGTTTTCCCCTTAAGCTTGGCTATTTCAGCTATAACATCAGAATCCACAATTTTATTGTGGCCCCAGAATGTCCCGACGGCACCCAGAGGAGAATAGGCTGTTATATGAATGCCTTTCTGTTTACAAAACTCCCTTAGTTTGTTCTGATGCCAAAGTGGGCTCATCTCCACCTATTCACTTTACCTTCAATCAGATAACTATATGTACATACATGTTTAAGAGGCTACGCAAGGAGGACTTACTTGATTGATCACTGGGGGTATTTTGGCAAAGGAGAGCAGTTCTTGAAGCCTTCTGGGAGAGAAATTACTGACGCCGATGGCTTTGGTGAGGCCCAGCCTTTGGCCTTCTTCCATTCCCTCCCAAACCCCTTTGAGATCCATCGCAAAAATGTCCTCCTTTGCCACTGGGATTCGACGCACTTGAGGATTCAGCTTCAATGGCATGTGGATCAGATACATATCCACATACTCCAATCCCAAGTTCCTGTTGTTTTGTTTCGCCCAAGTTATTTGCATGCATCTGCATAAACACAAAGAAAGGGACGGCATCATTTCTTACCTGAGGCTGCCCCTAATCCCATCAACAACAACAGGCGGATCAGCAAAACCACAAGACAGCTTGGAGGTAATGAACAGCTCGTCTCTGGACTTTATAAGTCCAGCCTCCAACGCCTCCCTGATCCCCGCCCCAAGTGGTTTCTCCGTCCCGTACGAATAGGACGTGTCGAAATGACGATACCCGGCCCGGATCGCCTCCACGATGGCCGTTCTCGTTGCCTCTGGTCCCACTGCCGACATTGTCCCCATCCCCATCACCGGAATCAACTGCCCGTTGCTCAAACTTGCCATCGGAACCGTTGCCATTTCTAGCGACGCTTTGTGAAGCCACCTCCTCTTCACCTCATTTTATACTCAACATCTAAGGCATAAGGAATAAATAAATAATTGTATTAATATTTTCATAACTATTGATGAGGTATAGAAGAGGGTTGAATTTGATCGAGTATGATATAAATTTATAATATCATTCTATTAGGTTTGATTAACTCTAGTTAATTATTAAAAGGTCAACAAAAGCAAACTCTAGTTAATTTCCTACTTTAAGTAAGATTATCATTCATTGATAATATTATATTACATTATACAGGTAGGATAATAGGCTGGCAGTTAGCCGGAAGAACCGATATTTTTTCATTTTGTATTATCGTGAATGGACCAACAAAATAGCTTACTATTTCTTTCTTTGGGGAGCGGCAAACAAATATAAATATAAATCTGAATAATAAATTAGAACATATATGGCAAGAAAGTAAGAACAAAATATATATATATATATATATATATATATAAATAAATAAATTTGAAAAAAATGCATCAGCTTTGGGTTGTTTAGAGTTTAAAGATATAAATGTTAATAAATGGTTTTTTGTTGAAGTTGATAGATGAAGTAGATTTTGGTTCTTCCGTCTTTCCAAGTCTCTTAATTTATTTGTGTGTAGACAAATTTGGTTTAAACTTATATGATAAGAAACAAAAATAAATAATGGTGGTTGTTGCATGCACCTCCTTCTCTCTCCATGGTAACACCTTGCACTAAAATTATGACCAAAACTTTAGAATACAAATTTGTCTTCATATCTCTTGCTACGTGTACACATTATCTATTTATCATAATTTAGTTATATACGGTCTTCACCATCCAACACAACACAGTTTTTTAGTATATTTTATCCTCATTCACTTTAATTTTAAACTTTTTATAATTGATCTATCAAAAAGAGGTATAATGATTATTAATTATTTTTAAATATTTTTTTATCCTCATATTCCCAAGATCCGCAGGATGTGGTCTTGGGTTATGTTGTAAGTAATCATTTGAATTTGATTTTTTAAAGTGGGTTTGTAATTAATTAGGTACTTAATAGTTTATTATTAATAACTTCGTATTTAAGGGTTTGGTGGCATTAGTAATGTATTATTTAAAAACATAATTGAGACGTTGAGAAGGACAATCTTAAATCTTAATCCTTTGAGCAAAGAAGTATGCATCTTAATAAATTTCTTTCTGTTTTCATTCATATAAAGTTTGGTAAACTTTGTGTTTCATTTCAATCTATTTTTATCTCCAAATCCATATGTCGCGATGACTCATGAGGCATATTAACTTTGGAAATCGAAGCAGGACAAGAAAACTGGTTGGACCGGTTTGGTTCAACTAAACCACTCCTTCAACCAACTAAACCACCCTTGATGAATTCTTCACCGTTTTTATTAAGGGCTCAAGGGCATAAGAGACATTTCCCCCCATCCTCTTTCGATGCTGCCCTAATTCCCGGTGTATAAACTTGTTGGAACTGGAAGACCGTAATTTCTGCTTCATTTTCTGGGCTTCTCACAAATGAACATTTTGAAGCATCCAATTATCAGCAGGCGAGGATTCAGATATGGTGGAGGTACTGTATGTTCATTTCTAATTTTGAGACTCTGGTTTTTGGATTCTCGTTCAAATGTTAGGCGCACATTCGTTTCTGTTCCCCCTTTTTCTTTTCTGCTTACCTCATGTATTTGCTTGATCAACTTTTTTGGATTACAATGGTTTCAAAATAGAGTGAGGGGTTGGAGTAAGTAAATATTAGTTTTTTCCACTAAATTTACGAAGTGGGCTTCCTCTGTCCAGTCATTATGATGATTCAGTAGTCAAAATTGTTCAAATCCAGCAGAAGGATAGTTAATATGCTCCAAATGACTATGGAGAAACAATATTTTTTCTCTGGCTTCTTGATAAGTTCTACATTCTGCTGAGCCTTTTTTTTTTTAGACTAAGAATTTAAGTAGTGAAAGAAAGCTCCTCCCGCTTGAATTAGCATCTCAGCTTGTTGCTGATGAACCATCTGTACATTGTAGCATTGCAAAGTTCGTTCATTCATTCATCGCAAGACGCAGTGCTGGAAGTTTGTTCTCGAGAGCAAGAAGTAGTGATTGCTTTAGGAAGCAATGTGGGTGATAGACTGCAGAATTTCAACGGAGCTTTGCGGTTGTTGAAAAAGGCAGGGATACACATTACAAGACATGCTTGTTTGTATGAGACAGCACCTGCTTATGTCACTAATCAACCTCAATTTCTCAACTCCGCTGTTAGAGCTGTCACAAAGCTTGGACCACATGAACTACTGAGTGCAGTTAAGAACATAGAGAAACAGCTGGGTCGTACTGCTGGTATACGCTACGGCCCGAGGCCGATTGACTTGGATATCTTGTTGTATGGAAGATATAAAGTACACTCAGATACCCTCACTGTCCCTCATGAAAGAATCTGGGAAAGGCCATTTGTGCTGGCTCCTTTAATTGATTTGCTGGGTTCAGATGTTGACACCGATGATGTTGCTTGCTGGCATTCTTTAGCTGCTGATCGTGGCGGTCTTTTTGAGTTATGGGAGAAAATGGGTGGTGAATCTCTTATTGGTAAAGAAGGAATGAGAAGGGTTTTGCCCATTGGAAACAACTTATGGGATTGGTCCTGCAAGACTTCCATCATGGGAGTTCTTAATTTGACACCTGACAGTTTTAGCGATGGTGGCAAGTTTCAACCTATTGAAGCTGCAGTTTCTCAGGTGCGTTCGATGGTTTCAGATGGTGCTGATATGATTGACATTGGTGCTCAGTCAACACGGCCCATGGCACCTATGATTTCTGTTGAAGAAGAATTGGATAGATTAGTTCCCGTTTTGGAAGCTGTTACAGGAATGCCAGAGATGAGTGGAAAGCTCATATCAGTGGATACGTTTTATTCAGAAGTCGCTTTGGAAGCTGTAAAGAGAGGGGCTCATATTGTAAATGACGTATCAGCGGGCCAGTTGGATCCTCAAATGCATAGGGTTGTTGCTCAGCTTAAGGTGCCTTATATTGCAATGCACATGAGAGGAGATCCATCTACAATGCAAAACAATGAGAATTTACAGTATGATGATGTTTGCAATGACATTGCCTCTGAGCTACACTCTAGGATTAGAGATGCAGAATTATCAGGCATCCCAGCTTGGAGGATAATTGTTGATCCTGGGATTGGATTCTCGAAGAACACAAAGCAAAACCTGGAAATTCTAGGAGGCGTACCAAAGATTCGAGCAGAAATTGCAAGGAGAAGTTTGGGATTGTCTCATGCTCCCATGTTGATTGGACCTTCGAGAAAGAAATTTCTCGGTGAAGTATGTTCGCAACCGATTGCAACGAAGCGAGATCCCGCTACAGTTGCTGCAGTTACCATAGGGGTTCTCGGTGGTGCAAACATAGCTAGAGTACATAACGTAAGAGATAATGTGGATGCAGTGAGGCTTTGTGATGCAATGCTGAAGGAGGAAACAAGCTGAAGCATGATTGTTTCTCGTTACACATCCTTTTCATTCTCATTTTTTTAATCAAATTATTATTTTTGGATAATTTGGTACACCGCTCGTGCTTTTACTGCTAGCGTCATAAGGAATAAAATGAGTTACTCGATGCCCCCTTGAATAGTATTGTCTCAAGTTATTGGTTGTCATTGATCCATCGGAAGATTGTCTGTCTCTCACTAGTGCCCCTAGGAGTATTTGTTTTCAAGGTTGCCTTTAAATATCATTTGAGTAATCAGCATAAGTATTGGCACTCTAAATGTCTGTTGGAATATTATTATCTGAAAACTTAACCAACAAATACAATGACATCCATTCAAAGTAATGGAAGAACTAATATAAAGAGATTAGAGAGAGAGAGTATACACAACTTAGTTCCTCCTTTCTTTGGTAAAAGGGAATTATCTGGTAACTGGCGAAGCATGTAAAAATACCTGATAATTTCAAGAGGCCTAGAAAGTGATCAAGTCAGGTAAGTCTTGTTTATGTACTGGTTTAGAAACAAGGCTCAAATGGGAAGAAGAACAGCTTGCAAAAGGGGTTTGTAAAGTGGTTGATGAACAACAATCTGCATCAAATCTCTCCCATTTGTCTGTAATCACAGTCTTCAACCCCCTCTTTGATCCATTTCTAAGCTCACTCCTCATCTCTCCGCCATTATCTTTCCCATGAAAATTAACGCTTCCGTTGATAATTTTCTCAAGATCTTTGATATCTTCTTCTGGGATCTTCTCCAATTTTAGGCTCTGAGATGCATTCAAAACACCCATTTCTCTACATATCTCAAAGTATTGAGTCAAATCTTCTACGTGCGTTGCTGCTTTTTTGACGACTTGAAGTGCCAATGATGCTTCGGGTTTCCCTGGTGTCTCGTAAATGTCCAACAGAACTTGAGCAATTCCGTTGCAGATTTGGCTGTAAACGTCAAAAATCTCAAAGATGAGATTGTTCATGGCCTCCAAAACTAAGCCCCCCTGTTAGAATGTGATGAATGAAAAAGATTAATTTACCACATTTTTGTGTGGTTGATAGATTAATATGGCATAATTGGAAGAAGGGGTGAAATCAAAGAATTGAACGCACCTTCATATCCTCATCCAAGGGTCGAACTTGAAGCAACATATCCAACATGGACTGCCAAGTTTGAATCTTAATCAACTCATCCAACAATAGGGGCTTCAACTCTTTCTTCACATTCTTGGCTTCAGAAGAAATGAGCGAGGACTTCTGATCCAGATATGCGTAATAGCTTCTGACGAAGGCGTTATAACCCCAAGTCTTGGATGAATTGGAATGGGCATCTTCGAAGGCAGAGAGATCGAAAGGCAGACGGCCCATGCGCTGGACGGAGGGAATTTGGCAACAAAAAACGCCATGGATGAGCATAAGACCCTTTAGAGCGACAACCCAGCTTCGTGTCTTCTCCATACGGGAGGAGAGGCCCAAGGCGAGAGGCTTGAGGTAGACGGGAGAGGTTCGGATCCATTGAAAGACGCGGCGGGCATTGGTGTAGTCTATTTTAGCACCGTCATGGCTGGTGGCTCGGATGATGGCAGCCTCGAGGTCGGGGTGGCGGTAGGGCGTGCGGGGTGAAAGGGTGGCCAGCCAAATGCTGCTTCGGTCCTTGATTGCTCCGGCAGTCCTGCGCCATAGCTTCATCATCTGGGCGAGGAGACAGCAGTGGCGGCAAAGGGGAGGGGGGTTCGGATGTAATTTTGAAGGAAGGAATTGCTATTTTAGTTGTGGGTTTGGGGGTGAAGAAGCGTTCAACGCAGGAATAATGAATGGTTGGGGGTATTGGATTGGACGTGCATGCGGGAAAATAGATACTAATAATAACAATAATCATAATTTCTTTCCTCACAAACCTCCCATTTGATAATATCTTTTTTTATCGATAATCCTTATCCTTTATTATAAATTCCTTTTTTTGATGTGGAGAGGAAAACACAAACATTTAGGTTATGGTATTGTTGTTGTGTTGTACCTAGCTATTTGAAAGTATAGCAGAGACGACACAAATAAAAGAGAATTGGTTCCTATATAGTAGTTGAGCATTGTCCCTTCATTGTTGCTGATAGCGAAGCAACCGCCTCTCCCACTGTCAAGTACACATTATTCGGCCTCAAAATCTCTCCATTTTCATCTGCTTTTTGCAACTTTTCCAACACTTCACCCAATGGATTCACCAACACCAGCTGTGTGAATGGAAGAGAGATTATATATATATACACTATGAAAAGTAGCGAAGTGAGGAAGATGAAGTAGTGAATGTACTTGCCTCAACATCCTTCTTTTCCAATGCTCTTCTTAGATCCTTGAAGAGCAGGACTCCACTGGTGTCTATACCACTCACGGCTGCAACAACAATTTACAATTTAATTTTACATCATCCACCTCCATATTCTTCAACACAAAATAGAATTACTTAGCTCACCTGACAGTTCTAAAACAACAAACTGCAGGCCACCGCCCTCCTTCTTCACATCATCCTCAGCTTCATACTCTTCTATCCATCTCAAAATCCTTCAAACCAAAGGGCCAAATGAAGAGATGAGTATTAATATATATATACATATAGGCTTCCTTCCTTCCTTCCTTCCTTCCTTAACATAGGATTTGAATGTGAGTGCTTATAAGAAGGAACCTTTCGTTGAGATATGTAGCGTTGGCAAAGTTGATTGGAGCTTCAATGCCCAAGATGAGGAAACCTGGGACGCTCGTTGCATCCTTGTAATGGTGAAGGTTTCTGTATATGTCTGTTCCAGGTATGTTCCCCAACATCACTGTTTTTGGCCTTGTGATTTGCAGGATGATTTTGAAAATGGATATGCCAACCTGATCGATCATCCAGACCCCAAATGGATTTTAGATAGATATCAATTTTTGTTTTTTTGTATTATATTTACGCAAGTGAGTGAGTTTTAAGAGAAGGGTGAAAGAGGAGAAGTTACAGCAATGGCGAGACCGTGTTGAACAGAGATGAGAATGACGCCGAAGAAGGCACAGAGCATGACAACAAAGTCGAACTTATCCACCTTCCAAATGGCGTAGGCGGCGGGGACGTCGATAAGCCCAATAACGGCGGTGACGATGATGGCGGCCAGCACCAGATTGGGCGTGTACTGAAATAGAGGCATCAGAAACAGGAGCGTGACCATTATTGTGACGGACATTATGATGTTAGACACCGCGGTTTTGGCCCCCGCGTTATGGTTCACCGCGGACCTGGAGAAGGCGCCTACAAATGAAATGCAACCACCCGAGTTGATTCCACTCCATACCATTCCATTCCATTCCATTAAAGAAAACAAAGTGGAGACTTAGGGATAAAACAAACCTGTGGTGACATAGCAAGAAGTGAAAGAGCCGAGGACGTTCATGAGGCCGATGGCGATCATTTCCTTGTTGCCGTCCACGCGGTAGTCTTTTATAGCTGCAAATGTCCGACCCACGGCTATTCCTTCCTGCATATATGTATATATATAATTTTTTTAAGGGAAGGAGAAAATGAAACAATGATTGCGGGAAGCGAATGTTGTAAGGTGCAGACCGTGAGCGAGATGATGCCAGTGACGAGGCCAGTCTTAATAACAAGGGGGAGATGGGAGTGTTGGAAACGGAGCATGTTCCATGAAGGTGGGTTCAAGCCTTGTTGCAATTTCCCAATCTGTCCCATTTCGCAATTATTACTATTATGATAATACACAATTTCCCATTTCCCATTTCCCAATTAAGTTTTTCCAACTCCAACTTACCGTGCTGATGCCATGACCATCGGCCTTGAATGCAAACACCAGTATGGTTGAAAGAATGACAGACACTAGAGGAGCTCCGGCTGATATCCAGAACAGCTTCGGCTTTCTTATGCTCTATATATAATTAATTTGATTTTTCGTTAAATAATACAAGGAGGAGATTATTAGTAAAGGATTAAGAAAGGAGGAGAGAGAAAAGTACAATGTGTCTTGTGATTAGAAGGAAGAGAAGGAAACAAAAGCCCATCAGTATAGTCTGCCACGACCACTGCACACAAAGACCAACGAACGAACAAACAAAACAAGACAAAACAAAAGGTCACCAACTTTTTCATTATTATTTATTTAATTCTTCTTTTGCTTTTTGCTGTCTAATAATTATTTATTTAATGAGTGTTAAGCTTTTACATGTGATCCATGTACATATGTTGGTTGTCTCTACTCATGTCTGCGTTCTCTTATATTCTGTTTTTTTTTTTTAAAGAAAAAAGAAAAAAGATTTATACCTCGCGAGTGTGATGAAAAACTGAGGTCAAAACAGGAAGCAAACCCATCTGTTTGGTGAAATGGGTAATTCCAAGCAAGCCTTTAAGCTGCTGCAGAGACACAATAATGGCCGCCCCCGCCATGAATCCAATCAAAGTCGCCTTGGACAGAAAATCGATTATGAACCCAAGTCTGCATGCCAAAAAAAGTAGTAGATTTATGTAATTAAAATAATAATAATAATAATAATAATTGGATTAATTAAGAAGCCCGCATGTGTATTATTTTTGGGGTGACCTTAGGAAGCCGAGGGAGGCCTGGAAGAGGCCGGCGAAGAAGGTGGAGGTGAAGGCGAGTTGGAGAAAGAGTATGGGATCTTTGAGGGGGGACACTTCTTGCCTCAGCATGGATCCCAGTATTAGCGATGCTATTGATACAGGCCCAACCGCCAGGTCTCTTGAGCTTCCAAGAACAGCATACACCAGTGGTGGAACAAAGCTTGAATCTTCCATTAAAATTTAACCACAAATACATGCTTCAAATCTCTACTTGCAACAAACATGTTGTGATGGAAAAAAAACACAAAGAGGAGAAAAGAAAACACTCACAAAGCCCAACAATGGGAGGCAGATTAGCAAGCTTAGCATAGCTAATACCCTGAAAACAAAACGAAACAAAAATAACCCATTAATAAACCTTATAACCAAGCTTATTATCTTGATCCAAACTCACACCTGAGGGATGGCCAAGCTTGCAATGGTGAGGCCAGCAACAACATCAGATTTGAAGAGCCTGAGATTATAATGAGGCCCCCATTCAAGAATCGGGAAAATATACTGAGCTCCGATCACCCATTTCCTCGCCGGAGACTGCCCTTTGAACTGCCGAAGAGGGTCATCCGGAAAAAACGTCTCCTTCAGCCGGTTGCCTAGCCTCTGCAACCCGCTTCTGTGCGGAGGGGGAACCACGGGATGAACTATGTCCACACAGTGCTCCGCCGCCGGACCACTCCTGGCATTGCTATTGCTATTGCTCTTGCTATTGCTATTATTATTACTGTTGTCGGGGTCGCCCATTTTGGACTCGCTCATAATAATTCAGCCTTAGGTAGGTTCCTTGTTTCAGAAGAATGGGGGGTTGCCTTGCCTTGGCTTTATATTACCCTACTTTATTCATATATATATATATATAGATGATTGGTTTTTTTTGGGGGCTCCGACCTTATCACAATTGAATCATTGGTCAGAATGTGATGTGATGCACTACTTTTCTTCAACTAATAATGGACTTTCAATTTATCCTCCTCCTCCTCTATAAGAGATTCTACTCTTATGTTCGATCAATCAATTTTATTTGGTTTGGAGTATACTACGTACTAAGTTACGGATCAATAGAGTTTACCTCCTTTACTAAAAGTTAGTCACGCATGTAATAGGTTGTTCCAAATGTCAATTGTCTGAACAAGATTAGATAAAATGAGAAAAAGAATAATAGGGTATCTAGATTCTCTATTTCTAGTCTTCTTATTTAATGTAATAAAGGGAAAAAAATATTATTACTTCTACCATTGTAGTAGCAAATATTATACATAAATGAGTATGATTTCATTGTCAAAAAAAAAAAAAAAAAAAAAAAAAAAAAAAAAAAAAAAAAAACTTT